GAACTCGCAGCTCACTGCTTCAATTTTGCTTTGCGCAACCGCCCGGCCTCCTTGCCGATTCTGACCAGAAACTGGCGCACAGAGCTGGGATCGAACCCGCGCCTCTCTGCCCCAATCCTGGTACTCTGAACTTTAACCACTGGGCCACCCTGCCCTTAAACGTATATTATTTAGATAATCCGGTGACTCGCACCAAGTGGAACATCTGGACCGACTATCTCCGTGAGCGCGACACGTCAATTTCATCCTTTGGTGTTTCATTCAATTCAGTTATCAATTTCATTCTTTCACGGTTATCCCGTCTCTAGCTGTTCTGCCCCAGGTTAACCCATCTCTGTTCTGCCCCATCTTAACCAATCTCTGTTCTGCCCCATGTTAACCCATCTCTGTTCTGCCCCATGTTAACCCATCTTCTGCCTAGTTTAACCCAACCATTCCGCAGGTTAGGCCATCCTTTCCCCTCGGTGACCTCATGACCGGAATCTTGCGTCGCTCGTTCGGCAGGTCGCCGCCCCGATGCAATTAGTCAGAGTTTCCTGCCTTAATGCGCGCCCGCCGCCCTCCTTCCTGCTCTGGACGCTGCCTTATAAACTGTCTCTCAATTGACTGCGCACAGATCAACCGGGCGACAGATAATAGTTTCTTTTGCTGCCACAAGGAAGATGTGTCGCGGTAGAATTCAGTAATATTTTTGCATTTGAGTAAAGGTGCCTATTTCTTTACATTACAAAATTTAATTGTGCATTTGTGTGTTTGATTTGTGCTATGATGATATACAGGATACCATCATTAGCAGATGCTGCATACTCATCAGCCGAACATAAAATATCCGAATAAGTTCAGCTTGCATGCATATCCATGCCTTCACGCATTTGAGTCGCGTGTCGCGGTTTCATTTGAATTAATACAAACTTACGCTTTTCTACCCCACACTGTGATTTTTCGCTCCTTGCCTTAACTTTCAGACGATATATTAATTCAATGGAATGTTTTTGACGCGATATGGAAGCACAAATTTCCATTGATGCTTCTACAGAAAAGAAATCGTATTGTAAATCTTCATATATACTTAGGTTAAACTACTGGTTAAACTGCTGTTCGATTTATTTTATCCAATGACATTGTGTTGTATACCTAGCAAGCAAACGCGATATTAAATAAATGTTTAAATAGTTAATTATATTTGAGCCTATATTCAAGCCAGGCCTCATGCAGTAAGTTCATGCAAGTCGATTACAATAATGCAATCAGCAACGCTGCGCAAGAGGCAAGAACAATTTTTTTCAAGCTGGGGATCAAAAATGAGCTGAGTTTGAAGTTACAATAAATCTTACGTCCATCCAGAATTTCATCAGAATTTTCCCAGCGTGGGCTTCCCTCAATATTCGGTTTCAAGTCAAGAAATGCAATGCCTCAAACACAGTCCAAAAATTTACTTTGAAATTCGTCTCCTGAAGTTTGTACTGAATCTCCGGCGTCTATTACACGTGAGACTCTGAGATCGCTGAGCAAATTTAGACGGAGAAAACGCGAGACTTTTCCGCTCCATTGCAGGTCAGAAATATTAGCATATAAGTCTTATATATCAGCAGCAGCGTAATACGGGCGTTGAGTGATACATCTTTCGAAAGTTTACACACCACCCGCCGCTCAGGCAAGGAGTTAATTTTAACTTATACGGTTCCGTTCTGGGTAAGAAACGTGAATACTGTTCATGCGCAGCCTAATCAGAGGATTGATATCAAAACACGTGCAATGTGAACGAAAACCTAGCGTTGAAAAATCGCTACTGATTTCCGTTAAAATTAAAAATCCAGCCGCGAGTAATATGCTGCTCAAGAAGTATTCAATTTCAGCAGCTCATTCGAAGAATCTGTAGCGACCATGCATATACATTTCCTTCAGTTAACTCCGCAACTCATTTCTTGGCAGTCGTCAGCCTATTATAATTTAGCGTAGTTACTAGTCAACGCGAACTCATTATTATCTATCGTCATTAATATTTGCCAACTATAATGTAAATAGTGTTGAATATTAGTTACCAATGTACCTGCCGTGTCTCATTCCCCTATACGATTAACGATTATGAGACGCTAGCGCAATCTGGTCACTGACTTCAACGCCTAGGCTTAGCCGAACCATAGGACGAAGCATTAGGGTACAAGCAAAGTTTGGCACGCGTTTAGAAGTCAAAGGACTGGTACCGTGCTGTTAGTATTCCCAAGTCTTACTTCTAATTTCTAATGACCCCGAGCGCAAGAGAGTTCACTGTCTCGCAACTGGTGACCCTGAGATCTCAACATAATTCACTCCCTCTTCCTCGATTCACTCTGCACTAGGGCAACGATCACTAAGCAGCGTGGACGGAAGCAGCCCCCACACGGAGTTTGCACGGCGGTAGCCTTACTCCCTGTGTTTACTGCTGTGCACACAAAGGTTGTTTCATACACGTGGCTTTCCTTGAAACCATGACCGGCATAACTGCAAGATCTCCTACCCTGACACCGGTCAGCCCTGCTGCTTCAACTAAGTCGGACGTAGACATGGCAAGCGACACACCGTCTGTATCGGTAGTCGCACTGAATCTTCCGCAATTATGGAGGCAAGGCCCGCTGCCTGGTTTGCATCTGCCGAGACAAATTTCAGCCTACACGGCATCACACCAAGCTGTACCATGTATAATCACTAAGTGTCCGCTCTTCCGTATAAATTAATAGCAGAAATGCGCGATATTTTTGTGCTCAACCGTCATATTGTTTAATTAAACAAGCTTTAATTGATCATGCCGCGATTTCTGAACGTGAGCGATTCCGGCAGCTCTTTACTAAAGAAGACCTTGGTGATCGTAAGCCATCACAGCTTCTACGTCATATGCAGAGCCTATTCCAGCATGACAGCAAAAAATTTTACAATAAATTACTCCGGGAGCTTTTTACACAGAAGCTTCCCATCTCGATCCAGCGAGTTTTAGCGACGATGCCAGCGGATACGGCACTAGAGACCTTGAAAAACATTGCAGCCGGCGTTATGGACGTCGACGAGAACTGTGTTGATGCAGCAAAAAACATCGCCCCATTCAAATTCCCAAATACTCGACTTGAAGAAGAAAGTATCTGACCTTACGGATCAAGTTCGAGATTACTCAACATGGTAAAGAAAAACGAGGACAGATCTCGTTCCTCTTCAAGAGACCGCCACAGGCACGCACAACACCGCAGCCCCCGGTACAAAACAATTCCGCAGCTTCGCGTCAGCAGCGCTGCAACCGCAAGCGTTTCGGAACGGCAGCACGATAATGCGTTTCTCCTCGCACCTATAAAAGGAAACGAGAGGCGCGAGTGATGACGACGTCTACCTCTCGCAAATGCCGTGTTTTACGACTCCAGATCGTCACAGTAATTTGTAACTTTTCAATTGACACCGGTGCAGCTGTAAGCATACTTACAGCGTCTACGATCGACCGTCTGAAGCTACCAACGTCACATCTCTACGCAGCGAACGGATCATCCTTATCTTAATTCGGAGAAAAATCGCTCACTTTGGATTTCGGCCTACGACGGACATTTAGGTGGGGGTTTTTGATCGTTAATTTGATACAACATATACTGGGTGCCGACTTTTTACATCATTTCAACCTCCTGGTCAACCTGAAGAAGTGTGTTTTAGTGGACGGTACAACCACGTTGAAAACACAGGCCACCCTGTTAATGGTGTTTAATGTAGGATTTCGATTATTAACAGTACAATTGTCAGTAATTACGATAGGCTACTATTGTAATTCCAATCTCTACTTTTAAGCCTTTGAACGCCGATATTCCTCTGAAACACTCAGTGTGACCCATATTGAAATCACCGATCCTCTAGTGCATAGCAAAGCACGGCGGTTATCAATGGACCGCTTACGAGCAGTAAAACACGAGTTTGATAACATATGTGAGCTAGGCATAGCGAGACGTTCTTATCTGAACGTTTAGAGACCGTAAGTCGATGCTCTAAGAAATATATAATATAATGTATAAATATAAGAAGTAATGTAGTTGGCGCCACATTACACTAGCTGGCAACCGGTCCGATAATGTCAGCACTCCCAGAAAAAATTTATGGAACTATTTGAAATAAAGCGAGAACCATCAAGAATTAACATGGAAACTGGAATTTTATCATGAACGCCATTTTCAATAGTGCTGACTGCTTAATTCAAAGCTAAATTTTAAGAACCTTGCCCACAATACAGTAGATCATTTAATCATATTTTTATAAATCGCTCAAACGGTAAGACGTTTTCTTCGTTAATTCTTCGAACTAAAGCCAGAAATATTCCATTAATTTTTGAAACATTTCAAATTCCGCGGTCATCAGAATTTTTCAGGCTCAATATTTTCTACACGATCTCAATGCATTGTTCTTAGCAAGCCTGATATAAAACATAGTCACACGATTCTCGGATGATAATTACGCGAGCATTTTATCCTCTTGCCGATATTCACGCTATAAAATATTGCGGTAACCGTTATTTGTTCAAGGCAATCAAGTACACTTGACCGAACACAGAACCGCGTGCGACGTCTACCAAGCTCGTATCATTCATATAATTCACATTCGTTCAATCATTACAACATAGGAGATAAGTTCTTCATACCATGAAATGTCTCCATTTGTTGATCCCAACAGATACTTTTATCTTGATTTCGTTTCACAGGCAGAGTTTGACTGGTTACTTATAATTCTGCACAAAACTAAGTGCAAAATTCTTTAGCATCGGTGGCTAACCGTTATTGATCTTCCGATCACTTACTAAGTATAGCAAATAAAAGACGATTTCTAACCAAATTCATTTTCAAAATATGCGGTGCGTGAACCTAATTTTTCAGCAGCAGGTATAGACAGGCTCTTATGATTAATCACAATAAATTAGAAACGAGCAAGACCCTTGCTACTGAAGCCTCGAGTCTAACCATTACGAGCGCAGACCAGCGCTAGAAGGTTAAATTATAAGTAACTTTCATGAAGGATTTTCGTAGCATCGTTTACTGTAATACAACAAAAAACTGATCATTCAAACATAACTAAATCTTATGCAAGCATTGTTATACTAATGTTAAGTAGTATGTACAGGATATTAATCATGATTAATATTCATTAACAGAATTCACGTTTGTAGAGGATGCGTGTTATACGATTAAAAAATCCGTACGTTAAATGGCCGATACTAAATACGAGTACCACATCAAGATTCCAAAATCATTTTGTTTCCGCGCTGTTTACTCACGACTGCGTTGTATTAATCGCTGCCTCAGAACATTGAGAAGCGTCCAGCATAACAAATGTGTCGGTCTTGCGCAGTCAATTACAAGGTCTTCGAGCAGTCAACGTTGCTCACGTCGCGGGCGAAGGCACAATGCTTTCCGTTCATGAACAAATATTAACTGAAAAGGTAGCGTGAACTCAACAGGAATGCTTACATAAAATCAGATGAATGCTTCAAGTAGAGCAACAATCCTCAGTCCGTAAATATGTGAGGGTTACCACCATTTATCAAATATGCTAAAGCCACATTGGAGTTGTAACAAGGGTAAAATACCTTCTAAGAACAGTTCTCATCAAACATATGTAGAACCTCAATGATAAACCGGTAAAAAGAAAAACAACAGATTGGGCTTTGAATAAGAAGGAAAAATTACCATTAAGAACAAACTCCGATATCAGGTTTTATTTTACAAAGGCCCAAATTTGAGAGTGCAAAGTTTTTAAATATTGCAGACAGTGCTCGTAGGAGTAGTGGTGAAATATCTCCGGTATTCCAAAAAATCGTTGTCTATTTCCCGCCAATGTATTTACTCTAATCATTTCTGCACAATATTTAACGGTTCGTATTTTTCAAGTTTGGCCAACTTTGCAGGATACTTGAGCGTACGCACATTGGAACTGCAATGCGCAACATATGGTCTGACAGAATCCGTAGTGGCATAAAGTACGAATACATTTCAATCAGCAACAAACTGAACGTCTCTTTTATAAAACAAGATTATCAAAATTTTTCCAGGCACGTAAAAAAATTTATTAATAGGTATGACGCCAATTCGATATAAGCATACAATTTGATTCGCTAAGTGCATTAACACGAAGGAAGACAAATAAAATTTTCTCATTTTACCTTTGTATCAAGTGAACAAGCTTTGGATCAGTAACCTTTTGAATAAAACTATCAACTGCTATTATTAGCTTCATGTCTATATCTTTTAAAAATCAAAAAATCTGAAACGTACAACGAAGAGTTAATTTTGTAAATAGCTTCCGGAACTTGAATTTAATGTATGCTAAAGAAACCAAGTAGCAGCCAAACCTCATCATTGAACATTGCAGCATACATCTCCTACATTTCAATGCAGCGTAAATATACATTTTCCAGAGATTTCCAAGGAAAATATATTTGAAATTAAATGGCAACGAATGCCAATTCCGTTTCTAGTCGATCTAAATCCTCTACACAAATCAATAATTGCCAATAGGCTTTCAATTCTGAATATCTAACCTGTTGAACGTAAGATTTTTTTTTTATAATCAAGATTCGTCGCTGAGGAACAAATTCTTTTCTGTGAATATTCCATTGGCAAACAAATATCAGTGGATGATCCGAGACTTATGAGTTGTGATTACCGTACTGGAAAAAATACCTTCATCAGAAAGTAAACGAAGAAATAGGAAAAAATCCCAGTAAGAAATAAAAGCGTCACAGGAAACTAAAATCTAAGAAATGCACTGTAAATGCTGATTACATCCAAAGTATGGACAAGACCAATTCTGGTGCCGCCAGCCCGAGACAAGTCAGTCACAAACTGAGATGGCGAATCTATTTATGCCGTAATCGTTGACGCTATGATAGAGCTTTAATACGAAACATCATCACTGGGACTGGTTGCCATTTGGATGTAAGAAGACATCGCGTGAGTGGAGGTCGGCATCAGGCAAAGCTGTTGGATTGTTCTCTTTATACAGCGGTTGGTCGACCGACGTGCTGTTCAGTTGATCCTGACTCGACCGAAGCTGGTGCTGCACACCAGAATATCAAAATTACCTATTGTCTACAAATTAAATTATTAATAAAACGTGGAAGAGCATCGCTCTCAATCAATATATATAACATTCAGTTCATTCAAAAGTCCTACAATTCACACATGAGGGCACTGTTGTGAGCGAAAACTACACCTATGGAATTTCAAAGAGTGAAAATTCCATTCAGGTTTCCTCTTAAGAAATCTCACCTCGAATTTAAGATAGTCCAGCGTCGCATCGGTAATGAGAACGTTGGGAACTTGCAGATTGAGCGGCCGCACCACTCGCGGCACGCTTTTTGCCAGCTGAAAATTGAAGTTACTTCATAATCATCAAACTTATTTATTTTGAGGCTGAGGGTTATTTTTGTTGCTTCAGCGACCCTGTTTAGTATTTAACTTCGGCACTGTCCTGCAATTCACCAGATCGCATTTCTAACGAAAACGATCCTGGAACATGAGAAGAATACCACTGACTTTTTAGAGCAAAAATTCAAACGGAGGTTTCTCGTTGTGCTTTGGACATTATTCGGCACTGCAATCCGTGTCCAAGCATGCTGTCATACTGTGGTACTCAAATTCAACTCAATTCAACGAATCAACAAGCATTAATATATAACCTATGCAACAACATAAACAAAATATAACATGTGACCCTATCAACTTCCAAACAGAATGAAGAACGATGAACACGTATATTACAGTACGGTCCATTTTACTCACGTGTTTCTCGGTTGTCATCACGTTGTTAAATCTTGCAGGGGATTTGAACATTTCCGAGGTGGTAGGAATTGACGCCTCTGGAGCAGCACCTGAAAAAAATTAAGAGAGAAACATTCAAACCTTATGACCTTATGACGAGTTTAGGACTTCGTAGTCCAAAGTCAAGCTGGTGCTCCGACTTCGAAACCTCATCATAAAGTATATCGTAAATCCGTTCAGAGTAAGAGGATGGTATAAATTAAGTAGATTGAAGGGAGGCTCAAAGTTTAGCTGGGTTTTCTACAGTACTGAATCCTTATCATTTAACGCGTGGTAGCGCGTTCAACCTTTAATCAAACAAGGCCTTATTTAAGCTTGCTAACCTGCATCATGAACACTTGGAGTGAGCATCAAGATCTTAGCTTTCTTCGTAGCAGATTCCTGGGCCTGCATCTCAGATTCTTCATCGTTTTCTGGAGCTTCTTCTAAGGTCAATACTCGCTTCCGCGACACCGGAGTAGCGTCGATATTTTTATCGTTGCCAGCACGGGAAGCAACAATGGGCTGACGAGCGGCGGCGAAAGCAGCGCCAGCAGCAGCACATTTAGAGCCACCAGCAGCTGGTTTAGATGGAAGAGGGAGCTTAGCAGCAGCTGGACGATGTCCGCTCACCGGAGTGCGCCGTGCACCAACAATTTTTGCCGCTGCTTGAGGAGGCGCTGAACTCTTGCTTGATTTACCAGATGAATTCATTTTCTGGAATATATATTAAGCTTTTTATGTATAGTAATCTGGGAAACAAAAATTTGCAGCCCCATGTTCAAAAACGATTTGAAATTAGAGGCGTTTTACAGCAAATAATATAATTGAATACTGAATAGTAAATTTTTGGCTAAAATAGTTGAACTAAACATTGATAAATAATTGAATTAAATATTTAAGTTATCCTTACCCTGGCATTTTTATCAAGTTGTCTTGCTTGCTCATGTTCGTCCCACTTCCTCTCGATGTATTCAGGCACCGTTTGGCCCAGCACCAGCGGGCTGGGCTGGTCCGCAGCCTCGTAGCGTGTATAGACCGCCCATAACTTCCCCTGTACTCGCGGCAACTCCTGTACAAATCAAGTACTTTTTCATTCACTTCCATCATGTCCCGTGAATGTTATTATTGGTTTAGAAACAATACTATCCAGCATTTCGAGGCTTAATGCTATCACAGTATACCTACTTCAGGACATCATTTTGTTCCTTCCATTTTACTAAATAATATTCCATTTCGCGTATGATCGTTAATTTTCAGCTGATGAGAAATTTCTGAGATGATTGGCTGACTCGTGTATACAGTTTTTCGGCAGTGTCGAAACAAATAATGAAGAACACTCGGTATTGTAGCTCTCATTCTAGCTAAGAACTGATTTGTAGTTAGCCTTAGAGGGTTGAGAAATAATTTTAAAACAGCCTCGGGCATTGAGGTATATTCATGCAGTCGGCGAGTGAATCAATGTAGGAATTATTCTCTAAATGATCAATGGATCATTTGAAATATTAAAATGATCAATAGATCATTTAGATTATATTTTATTAGGTATTATCTATAGATAATTGTGAACCAACTAAACGACAGCGTACCGCTTTAATTTTTTTCCTCTGCTTTTCTTCCTGCAAAAGAGAGCCGCCGCGTGTTTGGAACAACCGAGAAGGGTCCTTGGCCAGATTATCTAGACGCAGAAGATCTTCAAACTGGTGTTCGAATTCGGAAACCTGAAATTCACGTATATATATAATGGAGTAAAGTTAAATGGCGATTTGAATAAGAAGTCTAGAAGTATCACGCAAGGTAAACATAATTGCTTCTAATGACCTACTTAAGTAGAGTGACTTAAATTCTAGCGTATTTAATAGCAGCTAAGATATTTGGAAGTGAGCTCTGGCGTCAGCTCATCGGAGCTCAGGCAAATTGCTTTAGTTGATCACTAAATGACGGATATTCTAGTCCAAATTTTTAATAAAAGCAACTGGTGCTCCGCGTAGCATGGCCATAACTGTAGCATTTTGCAAAGCAACTCTCAGAACCGAGGCATCCAGCGGAGCATTCTCAGCAATCCTTAGCTCCGTAGTTGAAGCTTTGGCAAAGCAAGGGCATACGAGAACAATATATCCAAGATTCATCAGCGCTGTTGGATCACCACTTCAATGAGGATTGCACGTAGAAAAAAAGATGAAAACATAAGGTATAATGTCCATCAAAATACCGCGCATTTCCTTTTCCATCCAGCAAACATTAACAAACATTTCACAATCATTACAGTAGTATATGGCTCCTTATGAAGCAACACGACGTAGCTTAATGGTGACAGATTGGCTGCCTTGCTTTCACTTAGGGTGCTCCATTATGAGTCTTATGCACATTACTGGACTTCTTCCCAAGTGAGCATACAAGTTACAGCTATAAGTATTCATATACTCAAGAAATAACTATTAATTCATACTGTCTGTATTCCATACCAGTAGGAAGAGATCAGCATGTTCCTGTTGATAGCTCCGAAGTTTGTTCACCTCAGCCTCTAAGTTAAGAAGGTCCTGCTCAGTTGCCGGGTCTGGAAATATATCTTGTCTCTTAGAAGTGACAACCTAATTCAGCTACACTTATTTTTACTATGACAAAATGAAGTTTATTAAGGCCTAACAAATGCATCACGGAAACAATACAAAAATTTGCGGTGGTAAGCTTTATTTTTGATTATAACTTTGCCTATGCACGTGCAGGAACGATTGCATGACACAATAAGATCAGTAGAGAAGCTGGATTGATTGTTAACATTCTCAAGATTCACAAGATTAAATTCCGAAAAATACCTTCAGAGTCACGAAACGCAACGCTTATGCAATTATAAATGAACTAGCATGAATACTATTCAAAACATTGAACATTATAATAAGTAAATAACTGCTTTATTATCAGTTTTATTCTAAAGTTGTTCAGATCAAAGCGCCAAGTAATGAGAACACTCGGTAATTTGATAGAGAACAAGACATTTACTCACCCTCACAAGGTGGCAGAATACATTGATCTTCATGCAGGTAGCAGGCGTCCCACAGCTCCTTGAGTTGTCCCTCAAGTTTTTCCATAAACTTGCCAATATTGGCAAGCCTCAGCGCCTTCATCTGCTTCAGCTCCTTTTCCAACTGCAATACCGGTCATGGGTACACTAGGTATTTTCTACATCCCCCTCTAGGTTCAACACAAGCACCTTGATGTAATCAGAAAATTCTAGAAATATAACATATTTACAAGGAATTTCGGCAATATAATTGCATTCATAATGCAAAAAATAATGAATTCTGGAGATAACGGTGAAGGAAATAATATACGAGACCATGGTAGTAAATAATGCCTAATGAAAAATGAAATAATGCCTAATGAAACGACTTATTAAAATGTACAAGGGTAAGAATCCATAGGTAGCATAAGTTTATGGGAGGGTACCTCGAGATAGCATAGGTCCGTATTTTTGTAAATGTGTAGCTCAACACATGTCATTATAAGAAGCAAGCACTAAATGCACATATTAGGGGCGCCTTGGAAGACATCTGCAAACGCGGCGTCTCACACAAGCAATAGCGGAAGGCGTGTGTAAGGCGCAGTTGAGCATCACTGCCTCGCGGTGCGACTCCTCTGTGTCCAGGTCAGTCCAGAGCTGAGTGATGGCATCATGCAGCTCTTGCCACTTCACCAGGCACTCTGACACGCGGAATTCAAGATCGCTCTGCTTACTCTGCCATAAAATATTTAGTATTACTCTATGAACAAAACATTACATTGTCGTACTTTCTTGGATAATGTTCTAAATTTATAGCAGCACATCGTTGTCATAATATAGCTTATGACTTCACAGAGACAGATTCAGATTCAGATCTTCCATAACTATTTTTTTTTTTTGTAAAATAATTTGCATAAATGGTAAAAATACGAGTTAGATCTTTAGCACAGGTTTTAGAGGAAAACAAGTTAGTATTTTTAAAGGACGATCATTAACCCTGAGCGTATGCAGATCCTGATCAGTGAGGCACAAGTCCTCGTCCTGGTCGTCCTGGAAGCTGTTGATGGCCTCCTCCTGTGTTGCCTCCTCCAGCTGCACTGCCAGCCGCAGGATTGAGCGCTTCAGCTGCAGGAACTCCTGCTTACGCTTCTCCTGAAACACCAGACACAAGCAGGTGTGACACAAGTCTTGCAACAAGTGTTCGCTAATGACAAGAAGCAGCCAGATTACGAGAACTCTTGCGTGCCGCACACCTTCCACCACACACAAGTGTGTGTGGTGGAAAATCAATAAATAGATACTTACTCAGGTTTTGTCTATAATTCTGATAAAAAAAACATTAAAAATAACTAAAACTTCAAGTCAAATAGTATTTACAGTAAGACATTTCATTGCAGTTATGAATCATCTAAAATATGAAAACCTGAAATACTACTGTGACAAATTTGAAGCTTCTAAGAAAGCTTCATCCCGTTTCTAACAGCTTATTTTTTAACAATTAACATGCTACTCATGTTTGATGTTTTTCAAGGTAACAAATGAACAAATGATATCACACAAATTTAACATCACTAGGTACTTATCAAGATAGTGGATAAAGATCTCCAATTTAAACCTTCCATATTGGTGACAATAAAAGAAAATACTCAATTAATACAGTGGGGGGAAATAAATATTCGTACACTTGAAAAATCGTATTTTAATGTCTGTAAGTACACAAACTGAACAGGAGAAGTGATTTATATTATGTATAGAGGCGCATTGTATTCAAAAATAGCATCAATAGAAATTAAATCCCAATGCAACAAAAATTAATGCAACATGTTAACTTCTTCGGGTTGAGATTTAATTTCTTTTGATAGTATTTTTGAATACTATGCGTCTCTATACATAATTTAAATCACTTTTCCTGTTAAGTTTGTGTACTTACATACATTAAAATACGATTTTTCAAGTGTACGAATATTTATTTCCCCCCACTGTATATCAGCAAGATGCACATATTTTAATGAACCAAACATTAATGACTTTACTAGTGTTTTAGTATCATGTTAATCTCAAATAATATCAAAATCATTAACACAAAACACCAATCATAATCAAGCACTCTAAAACTTTAGACAGCTAGTAAAACCTAATGACTAAAGCTCCATAACAGAAATCAATAGTTGCATCACATTCAGAAACTCTGCAAAAGCTTCAACAAACTGACAATAAAACCTGTGTTTCCGTTAAGTCTCGTGCTGTTTTTTTTTTATTGCTAATACTCCACACTTTTTCCAAGATCTGTGGCAGCCCAACCTGTCATAGGTACTGCAAAACAAGCTCTACAATTTTTCAAATTTGTACCTTTTCAAATGTATGGAATGAAGAGTATTTTTACCACTATTAGATCATCATATTATTTTTGGTCCCAATAATAATTTTCATGCCATGAATCAGCACTCTGTGTCGCAGATGTCACAACCCTTGAGCTCTTAGGCATGCCATGGTTTTGAGTCAAATGAATTTCTTATAGAGGACCGAATTACTTGTTTTCTATAATGCAAGTGAACTGTGCAGAATTATGATAAGCAAGACGTTGTTGGAGTAAGATTAGGATACCTTCAAGTTCTCTAGAGAGCGGATGTGGTGCTGGAAAGAAGCCAACTCTTCTTTGGAGGGCACAGGAGGAGGTTCGGGTGTCATTTCTCCTTCACCAAGCAGCTCACACAACACCTGAGGTTAAAAAAATTTAGGTAACTCAGTACTCACTGCAGTTAGTGACAGAAAATGCATTTTCTCGTCGATGAAAACGTGAAGTCATGGATGGACAGACAGACAGACAGAGACAGACGGATGAACATGACGAGTATAATAATGCCTTTTTTCCATAAATGATAAAATTGTGCTATAAACCACGTTCAAGTCAACATGTGGACATTCAGTTTTAATATTTAAAGGTTATCAATATCTATACTGTAAGGCGAGACTTTGCACACAGGCTGCTGACATCAGCTAAGCTCCATTTGTAATGTTATGTGAGCCAAGACCTTCAGTCTTTGGCAGAGAATGATATACATTAAAGCTCTTACTCCAACTTGTATTCTAAACTGTTCAACTGTTTGAATAAGAACTCCGTTAATCATAACACTGTGCTTTTTTATCCCTTATGATCATTAGTATCAGTTAGGATAATAAAAAACTTAACCCCGAGTTAATTATGGGGTCAATAACTATTCTGCATACAGGTATGTATAGTTGAGGGTTATGACAGAAAGCACAACCCAGTAACACAGTTTAAATCAGTACAGTATGACAACAAACACTGTCATTTCTAGAAAGCTGTCTAATATTATCGCTACCATTGTTGCTTTTGAAGGCCTGAGAGCAATAAAGTCATAACATAAACAATCTTCTTTGGTCTTTCATTCAGCCTTTATTTCATGATAACAAATTTTGATAATTATTACTAATAATAGTATATATAGAACAAATATGGTATGACATTTTACAACAATAATAATTCTAGTACCTAGTTAGTAATAATTTAATTTTTACTCAAATATATGTAGGAATAAGAAATAGTTTGTACAATTAAGAATGCTACCTACCGATTGTTTGTGCATGAGCTGCTGGCGAGCGTCTATTCTCTCTTGTCTTGCATCACTGATTGCCTGAAGTTGTTCCTGTAAAGTCTTCAGCAACTCAAAGGGTACGAGACCTTTAGCTGGAGATAGGGGGTGAATGTCTGTTGGCAGATCCTGTTGGCACAGATAACATTATAATAACAGCTTAAATAGTTGAAAATAAAATGCATATAATGATAAAAACTAATAAATTAAAGAAAAATAAAGAAAAACCAGATCAAGACATAATGGTGAATCTAGGAATCAATTATCCACACTCCAAAATGAAATAATTGAGGTTTTTAAAAATTGCAGAATTTCAATAAATCACCCATGATTTTTATGCATTGCACATAACAGAAGATAAGTAAATACCGGTATATGATAAGTGATAAAGCTCTTAGCTCAGGTTAATAAGAAGCACCAAAGTTGCTACCTACTAAATATAATTTATATTCATTAGGTACCAAAAATCGTCCCATTAATCAAAGACATAGGTATTGAAATGTACCTATACTGTATATCTTTCAGAAACCAGTTACATACCCTGCAGGCAACCAAGATGCTGTTAGATACAGACTTGATTTCCTCCATGAGCCTCTCCCTTGCTTCTTCTTCATATGTGATAATGTCATTGCCAACTTTCTGTGGGTTATAAATAACCATCAGATGCTGCATAGTGCCACCAATTGATTATTTTTAACTCCATGCAGACATCAAATTTGAATGCAAGAAAAATTTGCTCTAAAGTTACATGATATCGACAAAGATCTACTTTCTGCTTTGGAAACTCCTCTTTGTGATTGGAAACTAAAACAATATTATAATCAATTAATGTGTGAAATGAATGCAGTGCTTTTTCTTGCATGGTTATAAACAAAAATGCAAAGCTGCTAAATCAATTAACTGACAAAACTTGAATAATGCATGATATCTCTACATGGAATTTTTCTATGTCAGAAAATAGTAAAATGGATTCCAAGAAACAGGAAGCTTGGCATGAAAATGTTTTCATGCTTGGTCCTGTCAGCATGAGCAGGAGACTCACGGTGAAATTGTCACAGAGGATTTGTAAGCGCTGATATTGCTTTGTGGGGCTTAGTCCAATAGCTTGCCATATATGGCTCAGCTTGTCAAATGTCTTGTCCAATGATGTAGTGACAGATTGCTTATATCTGAAAGATAATGGGTGAGATTGATTACAATGAATTCATCTAACTTCAGTTTAAGAAAATTAGTAAATTTTATTTAAAACTTCTATTCCCATATAATTGTAGTTAAAATAAGAAATCTTGCTCTTGAGAAATCTTGCTCTTGCAGAAGAACCATAATGCAACTTGATTAGAAATAAATTTTCTGAGAGAACAATATAATAAGCATTTAACATTCTCATCTTTAAATTACAAAATCAAATTTTATGATATTTTAAACTGAAAAGTTTTAATTTAATTCAATAAAGACCATATATTTAGTTTTTAGCTATTTTAAATTTTCATTAACAAGTTGAAAACCCTATTAAATAATTATCAAGACAATTCTCACATTTAAAAAAAAATACAAAACAGTCATTTAAACAATCAATAAATGCAGGTTTATAGGCAGAACAATTAGATACAAAAATTTTTTCTTAGTTTTAATGAATAACTCGAATAGAGGAGCCATACCTTGTCATATCCACAGCGTACTCCATGGCTGGGAAAATTAGTGATGCCGCAGATAATACAACTTGTTAGCTTTTAAAGCCTATTCATTCAGAAACATTCACTTGTATTATTCCTTGTCTATTGAATGGATGAATAAAATTACACACAGATTAGATGCAACAAAGTTGGTTTAAATCTTGAGAAGGTGAGAAAATTAGTAATTTGCATTTCTAATTTACTTTTTAAATACAAAACTTCAAAATATACGTTTAAAAATTACTTTTTAAAGACAACACTTCCAAAGAATCCAGTATCTCCAATCTTACAGATGTACAATGAATTTCTAATCTAATTTTTGAAAATTAAAAAAATTACCTTTTCAATTTTTTAAATATATATAAAATTTTTTTAATATATACATTTTTTTCAAAATTATTTATTCTGTCAATTGAATTAGACAGGTAAAAGTGTGTCAAATATCAGTTATAAGATTTGTAGCTGACGAAATTATTTTTTCAATTTTTTTAATATTGAAAAAAAAAATTTTTTTTAATTTCTAAAATCATTTATTTTGACATTTGATTCATGCATTGTCTCCAACTTTACACAAGTTGGCAAAATTTCAGATCGATAGGATAAGTAGAAGTGTATTAAATTTTGATTACAAGATTTGTAGCAGACAGACAGACAAACAGACAGACAAACAAGAAGTGAAGTTAAAGAGAAGTGTTGTAAAAGGGGCCAGTGTCTCCAATGTTACACATGCACAATGAATTTCTCATTTTATTTTTAAAAGTTTAAAAAAATTATCTTCTCATTTTATTAACATTTAAAAAAATTTAAAATCTATTCTGTCAATTGACAATAAATTTTGCATTGTCCCCAACTTTAAGCAAGTCGACAAAATTTCAGATCGATTGGACAGTTAGAAGTGTGTTAGATATTGATTAGAAGATTTGTAGCAGACAAACCTACAAGCAAACAAACTAACAAGAAGTGAAGTTAAAGAATAGTGTTGTAAAAATGAACTAATTCTAAAAAATCTCTGGTCTGCTTCAAATCTCAATGCTCAATGCCAGTCAATAGTAATCTTGTCATTTGTCAATTAGTATCATGTCCTGCTCCCCTGCTTCTTAGCTATTATGTGGTGATCTAACTCTACAAATCATAAATTTGTAATTCTGACCATTATTATACCATTTTTATTGATGAATGGCAAGTTTAGTCACTTAAGAAGTTGAGTGCAGACTGTGCAGGCCGTGCAAAATCCAGCCGAGACTGGATTTTTTGGAGCCATGGTTTTATGGGTTTGCCAGCTGTGGTTTTATGGGTTTGCCAGCCCTGATTCCATTTCTTGGAGCTATAAATTCTATTTCTTTAAGCCATAAATTCCATATCTCAACCATGAAAAGCCACTTCTGAGCCGCAAACTTATTGTCAAAGTCACATCAGGGCCAGAAAATTCCTACTTTTTCTTGAAATTTGGATCTCTAATATCATATAATTTTAGTAGGTGTGAAATCTGGCATGTACCTATTTGTGTTTCAATGAAAAAAAATCACGGCTTGCACTTGCCAAACATGTCATTTCATAAAATTTTAAACTTCCGCAATTATGGCAAAATCCATGGTACTTCAACGCTACCGCCACAATATCCTGCAGAAAGTAATAACAACAAGTCAACCCAAGATGTTCCCTTGAAGATCGTTTAGCTACAGTCACATCAGAGGTTCAGAGCGGACAGAACTCAGAATGCATTATCATGTGTTTGGTTGCCACTTAAGTGAACACAAAAGTTAGTTTTGCTGTTCAACTGTTTTTTGCATAAAATTAGAGATTTTGGGTAATATGTGCATAATCCAAAAACTTTGTAAATAAGCTTGCTGCTTGTAAATGGCTTTCTATGGCCGGGATATGTAATCATGGCTGGCAAGTCTATAAAACCAGGGCTCAAAAAATTTAGTCGTGGCTTGCCATGTAGATATATTCCATGCCTGGTTTCTTGCACCAGCAGTCCGGCAGTGCTGCCAGTGCACGTGTTAAGGTGTCATCCCAAATGTCTAATTCTACCCTAAAAACAGTCCTATTGTACAGCAACACTAGCATTTGTCTTCACCTAAGTGACACCTGAACAGCTGAACTGGCTGTGGCTGAACATGTGATAATGCAGTCTGACCAGTGACCGCTCTGATGCAATCTTCAACTAGTTCAAGTGCATGGAGTGACTGTAATGAGCAGTGGATGGAGTGACTGTAACTTCAAGGAAATGTTTTGGGTTGACTTGTATTTATAACCAATTTACCAGCTGCAGGATATTTTGGTGGAAGCATTGATTTGAAGTAATGCGGATAATGGAAGTTAAAAATATAATGAAACAACATGTTTGCAAAGTGCAAACTGCGATTTTTTTAATGAAACAAAAATACATGACATTAGAGCCACAAGATTTCATACCTACTGAAATTATATATTAGAACCGTGATATTTCAGAAAAAAATAGGACTTTTCCTGACTTGAGAGCTGAGACTGTGCAGTAGCTACTGAATGACGAGTGACTAACGACTGATGCCAGTTAGGTGTCATTGGCGAAACCAAACTAAATACTTAAATCAAGTCTGAACTTCTGAACCTAAAAATCTCAAACCATGGTACCACCATAGTCAGAGGTGGGCAGTAGCACGCTACATGTAGCGGCCACTACATTTTCACTAGCGGTAGCGGAGCTACATTCAAGGCAATGCAGCAGTAGCGGCGGAAGCGGCACTACATTTAAGGCAATGTAGCAGTAGCGGTAGCGCCTGCTACATATCTAAGTAGCAATATGAGGCTTTGCCGCTACAGCACTACCACTACATTTATAGATAAAGCCTTTAAATTTCATTTAATAGTATAAAATATTTAAAAACCAGCATGATACATACATAATATAAATTACAGAATAAAACTGTACGAACAATTTTGGTGTAATGTTGTCAACCTCAGCCTGTTACTAGTGTCAACTGTCAACACATAGTGACAAAGCAGAAAGTTTTTTAGAGTTAGACTTTCCCTCAAGTTCATTTTTGAGTCCTATTAGTAGACCAGTAAAGTACCTATCATGGATACCATCAGTATCATACTCAAGAAATTACAGCAATTCCTTGATTAGCACGGTTTTGAATACCGCGGTTTTGATTAACGCGGAAAAAAAATTTGCGACCTACCCTTAATCTACGCGGTGCCAGTTTTGATTAGCGCGACTTTTTTTTCATAAAGCATCATTTTCCCGCCTCTAGCCAGAGGTGTTATGTTCGTAACAAAAGTGTTACTTTTTTCTTATTAGATTTTATGTTGTTACTTTTGTTACGACTTTTGGAAAAATTTGCCAAATGTTGTTACTTTATGAATTTCAGCCAATAATTCTTTAGATAAGGTCCCGTTCCGTAGGCACTCGTGCTGACTACAGAGTCGGTTTAACCGCGCCTTGTCTCGTTCATAACTCGAATGATCGAGTTCGGTAACGTTCGCCGGTAAGTGCGCCATGCCCGTGCTCTAGCCCTTTAAGCCCTGGTGTGACGAATTCGTCACACAGAAAATAAAAGCTTCTACCGAGAGTAATTACATGTTTGGAGTTTAGCCGCAAGTGTGTCGGTAGCGTCACATGTTGTGAACTCGTTCGAACGAAGTTCGATGGAGTAGGCGCGCCGCTACTGCCAGTACAACACAAAGACTGCGCGTGATCTGAAAAGTAATTCAGATTGTTTTTTCACTTTTGAAACATAATTCAGTGCGTAAAGGGCTAGTTACTCGTTAGCCTTCAACTGGTCAAGATCGCTGCCATATCTACTGCTCACTTTTATCAAACTACATAATTTTCCTTTCCTTTGCTATTTTTGAGGATTCATTATAATTATTCCCATATATTCTTAAGTTTGATTAGCGCGGTTTTGCTTAACACGGTAAAACTCGGGGATTTATTAACCGCGTTAATCAAGGGATTGCTGTAGTTAAAATCTTGAGCAAATGAGGAAATCAAAAATGAACTGATTCTAAAAAAGCTCTGGACCTCTGGTTTGCCAATATGTGTCAACATGTTAGTTGTTACTTTTTAAGTTGTTACCAGACACCCACACTCAGGATGATGTATGTTTTCGGTGAATTTTCCCGAGCATTTTCACTTTTTTAAGCTATTGCTGTGCACAGTTGGTGCAATGTAATGAAAATTGATTCTCTTCGCGCACATGTTCGCGCAATCCCGGCCATCAATTCTACGTCGCGCTGCCGCGCACGAGCAGTTTGTGGAGGAACAGACATAATACTCACATTACTCAGTACAGTATGCCTTTAATTATCTTTCAATAATATATGATTTTTCTTGATACGGAAATTCGGTGAATGAGAAATCTAGAACTTTATTTTAGAAGAAATTTTCTCCAAAGTCATATGGCAACACTGAACACCGTCTGTTTACATTTCGTATGTATAATAGCCGCAGTTTACGATTACCGTACATTCTGTATCCGACAAGGCGGACAAGCGGAAGAGTCAGAAGTAACTGGACATGTCTTACATTTTATTATTGTCAGTTCGACTCGCGTAGTCAATATACTTGCGTATATTGTTGACTAAAATAGTAGAACAATTTTAGCTTTCAAAAGTATGGCGCACGTCGCATTTTTTTACCAGCATAGTACGGCGCACCGCGCAGGTCGTTAAAATGACAAAATAAATTCCCGCGCACCTGGCACATCTTCCTGACCATGGCCAAACACCAGTTAGGCAGTTACCACTTACAGGTATTTTTTCATGTTTCAGTTTGCTTAAAGTTATTTTTACACAGTTATTTTTATGTTTCACCTTCCCTACATGGATGTCTACTTTAATCTACCAATCTCAAAAATAATCCACATATATATATACAAATAAAAGACTGATTTTTATATATGTGGATCATTTTTTAGATTGGTAATGGTAGATTAAAGAAAACATCCATGTAGGGAAGGTAAAACATAAAAATAACTAACTTTTATTTACTGTATCAGTGTATGTGTATCTAACCCATGTCCCGTGTCCCGTACTAGTTAAGTAGTTCTAGTTCAGTTAGGTTAATTGCAATAAAGCTGCATTGATATGTTTTGAAAATGTTTTATTATTATTAAATGCTTATGAGTAAATCCCAATA